TTTCTCATGATGATGATGAGGGATTGGGGCGCCCGGCTGTAACGTTCCTCCCACATTCGGCGAGTTTCTGATAGTTGCTTACTCTCTCCATATCAGTCTGTGAGAGGGTAACTCGGTCGGTCAGTGAGAGGTGAGCCTCTTACATGTGTGTTTTTTAAACAGACCAATAAGGTTGGAATGTCACAAATGACCGTGGGGTGAGCTCAGAGTTATTCCCTCATGGCACGTCGCAGTCACCTCACAACACAAGGAGACAGGAATGAAATCCGACACGACTCGAGTGGCATCACGACACGGAGCCTTGCACTCGTCACTTTTCCTCCGGGAGTCTATATCAAAGGCGTGGGGAACACCAAACAACGACACTAGGATCGTAAATGAAATCAAAGTTTAGTGTTGAAACCTGCTGTAGAGATGAAGAAAACCGACAGCATTACCGCTTAACAATAATAAATTAATACTGAGAAACTTAATGATGCTTTTGCTCGTTTAAATCGTGTGGTAGTTAAATTTATTTAGAAAAGCACGCTGTCAGGATTGAGAACCTGCGTCTCTTACCGTTCGTTCTCGTCCAGATGTGAGAAGATAGTACATTCTTGGCGATCGCCTTGCTGAGTGCCTCCATGGTTTTGTAGTCCTTTGGCACTACCTGTGTGAGAGAAAACCACACCAGTCAGTATAAAACCATAGACCACAGCTGTGTCATCTGGGTCAATCATCATTATCAATATACACTTGCTGGCTCAAGAAAGGGTAAAGGCAATGCGCCCGTCCTGGTTACTTGCACAGCTTTCAGTGACAACTGAATGCTAAACTGGGTTTTGATGTGGCATTTCTGACATTGCATTTACGAAGCAGTGAACAACATCATTTTTAGAGCATCTGCAAAGTACAGAAGGCACACCGACGTCCAGAGACCAGAAGAATTAAGAACAGGCTTCAACTCTGATGCATACTTTGTCATCCATTTTGACACATGTCAGCCTCCATAAAAGTCAAAAACGTTAGGCATTTTCTTCACAGATTGTTATTGTATGCGAACACCCTGTATTGTCATTGCCTGTAAGAAAAACAAGTCAAAAGTGGTTGCTAATGATTCCACAGAATACATAAAACATAGCATCTTGCTCCCCATCCAGGCAGTGGCTTCTAGCTAACGTCATGCACAACTGAACTAGTTGGTGACATACTGGTGGCAATACCAGCTAGCCATTTCCCTGTTTTCAGTCCCGATCAGTGTTTTATGCCAGCCTATTTATTCCATCTACAGCATGGAAACAACAACTACTTCAAGCAGACGCCTCTCCTCTCAGTCAAACGCCACAGGGTAACGAATCGTTGCCGGGGGAGGCGTCTGTTCGTCCAATAATGTCGTCATCAATTATGGAGATGACGTACCACTAATTATCAAAGTGGCCTCGATATGGATTGGGGATGACAATTGGTGCTCTGTTAGGTATGCAATTGGTTGAAGTTGACAGGGGAGGTGGGATTATGAGTCCACTTCAGGGACGGCGGCATAATTGTCTTCCTTTTTATCAATATGTGATTATGCATTTAAAGTAAGTAGAGAGATGATAGTCACAGATAGAACACCGAAAGGTGGATGCAAATGATTATGCGTACAAAAGCATGCATCCCGAAGGATGCGTGTCATCATGATCTGTCACCTCCCTAACATACCTTCGCCAAAAAAGTAGCATTCCCTGCCAGAAACTCATATCTCTAGAAACGGTGCCCAACGTCAATAACGATAGGCATTGGCATATGTATTTGCGGACGTCCACAAACGTTAGGTAGCAGTGACAGGACCACGCGTTGTCATGGCAACAACTCTCTCTATGACTGTTATGAACACGACTGTCAGAAACCCACAGACGAGATGACTACTGAAGATGGTTCACAGAGAGTCTCGATGCGGGGTACAGTCTGTCTTAAAAGTACCGCGCAAAGTGACGGTGGATCCATCAAGCCTGACCGAGAAAGGGCCTGATTTAAGTTGAAAGTCACCGAACCAATTGACCTGGGGAATGGACGGGTATGTCAATTGCTTCGGTGATTCAAATTTAGCACGCCCTTGCTCGGTCAGGCTTGATGGATCCACCGTTACTTTGCGCGGTACTTTTAAGACAGACTGTACACGATAATGTAATAAACACTATCCAGAGCCACCAGAAACCGACAGCACCAAAGTCTAGAGCGAAATCTAACGTTTTGAGACGGCCACTAGCTAACAGGGCCGCACGGAGTACCTAGGAGCTGCAATTTGGCCCATATGCCCAAGCTTCCCGGTCTCAAATTCAGCTGACTGCTGAGTATAGAATTATAAGACCTTCCTTTTCATAATAACTCAAAATGAATGATTTTCGACATCATTTTCACATTAAAACTTTTAAACTTTGCATCATTTTCGACATTTAAACTTTCTATATTCGAGGAAAAGGTCATTCATTTTGAGTTATTATAACAATATGTTCCTCGCAAGAGCACTCAACACCATATCTTCGACCTTCCTTTTCCTACGATATCAGCCACAATAGGTGAGTAACATGGGTACATTCATAACACAATATACGAACAATTCTTAAATGAGTCTGCATTCGAAAAGCCACCGTAAGCTGATGAAACCCCAGATCAGGTGACACCGCGTCCACCACAGCATAACCACAAATAGCGATCACGTGATGGCACACCCATCTGACACCACTGCCACAAATAACGGAGCGACAACCAACAACGGAACGGCTGCAGCGACAGGAAAGGGGCGTTCGTAGTAGGAAGGGACTATAGTCTGTATGCTCGGATAGTTTGCATGGCTCGCGGATTTGCATGTACCACGGATCTTCTGCTCAGTCACTTGCTTCCTTCCCTAGTCCAGTCAGCCCTTCACGGTTCCACTAGCATTTCCTTTACTTATTTATTACATAATTTCATTACCATTTCCTTTATTTATTTCTTCCTTATCTAGCCAGAAAGGCTAATTAAATAACCATATATCTTCTTTAGGCCAGAATTGTTCCATAAATAACGCATAAGCGTCATTAACACATCTTACAAAACTGAATAACGTCACATCATATCTTCATGTGGTCCAAAGACCTTAACCCGCGCCCCACTGGGGGGGGGGGGGGCTATTTATAGCCCCCCCTCCCGTTTTTCTGCAATAACTTCCAAACCGCTTGACGTATCGACGCCAAACTTTCAGTACCTTCGGCTGCATCAATTTAACATCTTGTGTCAAAATTTGAATTTCGTAGCTACCATAGGTCGGCCGGAAATGACGTCAGAGTGACGTCATGTTCGGTCGATTTCGACGCAAAACATTGAACCACGGCAATCGCTCCCAAGGGCTCAGTTTTTAAGCTAGATCCAATTTCTTTGCATGAGAGGACTCAGAATAGACTGCGCTATCAAACTGCTATCTCGAATTTTCGAAATTTTGAAAATTTTGAAAATTTTATACAATAAAATTCAAAATTTACATTTTTACATTTTTTTCAAAAAGTTTTTCACTTTTCGAAAAAACCGGAATATATGTGATAGAATGCGTTATTATGACTACCTCTAGCAAGTTTTAGCTAAATATCTTCAAAAATGGCCAAGTTATACGCATTATTGCAAAAAATTAACAATTATTAATTTTTCAAATCAATTTTTCACCACGTATTTGACATCGTACGCCAATATAAATAGCACCATCGTGTTCCTGAGCTCAAACTGCATCCATTAGACACCTTTTCTGTTGAAAAATTATAACTTCAAAAGTTGACCTTTTTTGACCTGAAAGTGACCTGACCTAAGCTAAATTCGACTCAAAATGACCTCGAATGACACAGACGACATCAAATTCAAAATCTTTGGTCTAAATGGACCATAAAACATGTGTCACGTGACCGACGCATGATATAATATTTTCGTGACCTGTGATGACCTGACCTTGACCTGAAAATCAAAGTACAAGTTTGGCACCCTCAGGGTGTCTAGAGCATCTGTTCACGAGTGTGTGAACCAAAAATGAGCCTGATCTGACTTGTAAGCCGGCGGCCAGAGCCCAAAACGTGAACAAGCCAAAATGCTAATAATTTTTAATTTGACCTGACCTGTGACGTCATCGGTGACCTCGAGGTCAATGAAATTAGGTTTTGTTCGACAGTTTTTCCGGGGCTATCAGACACCGTTAGAATTTTGACGATCGGCCCAGTAGTTTCGGAGTTAGGAGGGGGGGGGGGCTATGAATAGCCCCCTCCCAGTAGGGCGTGTTATACGCAGACCCCAGTGGGGCGCGGGTTAAAGGTAGTGTGCCACCTTTGAAAGATTTCCCATTTTATTTTTCCTAGGATAAGAAGCTTCTGTTTTTACCTAATATCGCAAAAAAATCAAAAATGGGCCTGGAATAGTGCTTTTTTTGCCTAAAAGTTTATCGGTTTTTCGATATGTATAGCAACTGTAGTGGGCTGACCTGCAAACAGGCGTCGGCAACAAACGCGAATGCGGCGCACATGTGACAATAAGCAAAGGTCATTATAGAGTTACGACGTACGGGAATGAGTTATCAGCTGTCTAATCGTAGACTACACAATGTCTGACTTAAACTGTAAGCCTGTATTGGTATTGTTTCTTTAATTTGGCTGTCGTACATTAATTTATGGTTTGAAATATGATTTTATGTAAAATAATTGATATAAAACAGCCGTCTCTTAAATTATGACCCCATTTCACCACACGAAAGTGGCAGAAATGACAATGATCAGCTGACGCATTTTTCTTGGCCGAAGTCAGAGCGCGCGGCCCGACGCACCACCACCGCACCACAAAGCCACCTGCGGTAGACCGCGCCCAAAGCCAGGGCCCCGGTAACGTGAGGTAGCCGAGTCGGGGCAGCGTGCGCTGACCCAAGCCGGGGCCGCGGTTTTGGGCGCGGTCTACCGCATCCCCGCGGGCAGCCCCGGGCTATCACATGACACCGGGAGGACGCGCGGCCCCGGCTTGGGTCAGCGCACGCTGCCCCGACCCGGCTACCTCACGTTACCGGGGCCCTGGCTTTGGGCGCGGTCTACCGCACCACCTAACAGGCGTGTTCGAAACCGCAGGAGATGATGATGAACGGGTTTATCGAATCTTGATTGGATGAGCCTATCGGTAATAGCGATTTTGGTGTGTGCATTTATTGTTCATAGTGGTGTGAAATGTGGTTGGGGTACGACCGACAACCCGTCGGGGCGAATTTCGCGCTGGGGTACTCAAAATTTGAAGAATTTAAGACGTTTCCATGAGTTTTGAAGGTATGGATGAGTTCTAAAAATCCGGTTCTCCTTATCCGGGTCATTAACTCCATATGGTCCAGGAAAGCTGGCACACTACCTTTAAAGAACAGCACCACCCGCAGAGCTTATAAATTCCTACGCATTCGTAGCATACTCATTAACCTCAAGCTAATGGGGCGGGAAGTCGCGCAACACTCTCTCTCTCTCTCTCTCTCTCTCTCTCCAAAAGGAGCGTTTTCTCATTTCCTCGCGTTCATTTCATTTCATCCGTCATTCATTTTTTCACTCTAAAATTCCTCAGACTTCCGGGAGTAAACGGTTCTTAAAATTCAGGAAGTGATACCAAATACCATTCCCGCCAATTCGTACGACTGTAGGACCGAAATGGCGCCATTTGATCACAGCCGCACCTCTGCACCATATAATGCGTCCCATCTCTATGCAGTACATCGGCGCAGTGCGGTTCGGTCCGACTCCAAACTGGCCGGGTATCGAGCCGACCGATCGACCCCGAACTGTTCTGAGCTGGCCTGTGCCGCCACGAGAGGTAGAGGGCACGCGACGGTGGAGGGGAGGACTACGCGCAGATAGAGAAGGCGGGAGAAGAGAGGGGAAAAGGGAGAAAAAGGGTGAGTGGGGAAGAGGGAGAAAAAGGGAGGAGAGAGAGAGAAAAAAGGGAGAGAGTGGAGAGAGACGTGGAGAGAGAGAGAGAGAGAGAGAGAGAGTGGAGAGAGAGAGAGAGGAGAGAGAGAGAGAAAGAGAGAGAGAGAGAGAGAGAGAGAGAGAGAGAGAGAGAGAGAGAGAGAGAGAGAGAGAGAGAGAGAGAAGGAGAGAGACGTGATGAGAGCAGGGAAATGCAGGGGGCGTGCCAAGTAGCGCGGCCCGCGAATTATATCTTGGTATACGTCATTGATTGAAGTTATAGCCACTGGTAGTGTCTGCAATAAAGGTTAAATGTACTGCACGCGTTGCTGTGTATTTTTGCTGAAGGTCAGCGTTCAGCTCATCGAAGACAAGTACCCACAAACACACCCATGTCACTCACTCAGCTAATGACATGAATAAGTTAGCACTGCGAAATATTGCAACCCCAGCTTGAAACACAGTTCCTTCTCGCCAAAGCCGCAGGGGTCGAGTCATTGCACTGCCAAACAGCGGAGTGCCAAACACACCGCTTTGGCCATTAAACTGCAGTGCGTCGGCCCGTCGCGTGTGGAAGGGCACTTGACTCATATCTGGGTCAGTTGTGCACTGCACAGCACCGCCCCGATTCTATTATTTTAGTCGCACACGACACTGGATTTGCGATCGATGGGTATTTCGGGGCAGTAACCTTGCCGATAGAACATTCACATTCTCGGGCTAGGTTGGCTAACGCTCCATGTCCAATTTAAGGAAGTGGCGTGGAAGAGATTTAACGGCACTAGCTAATGTTGACAGTTCGTAAACTGCTAGCAAACTTCTGGCGCCTAACCAACTCCACCAATCACTACATCCAGCGTAGTCTCTCTTGCCGTAACTTCTGGGTAACAGGAACGGTCAGATCTGAACTGATCGTTTTGGAATAGCTATCATCGGAGCTCTGAGTCCCTCTCCCCTTCCATGCGTCTCTTTGAACTTGTTGGTCTTGTTGACCTTCGTCATTTTCACTTTCACTACATCTACTGAGCCTTTTATTTTGCCCTCTATACGTAGGTATCCCTTCGAGTCCTGATATCGCTTTCCTTCCTCTCCCCTTTCCCTCACCGTTTGGACATGGCCCCTTTTCTCTCTCTCTCTCTCTCTCTCTCTCTCTCTCTCTCTCTCTCTCTCTCTCTCTCTCTCTCTCTCTCTCTCTCTCTCTCTCTCTCTCTCTCCCTCCCTCCCTCCCTCTCTCTCTCTCTCTCTCTCTCTCTCTCTCTCTCTCTCTCTCCCTCCCTCTCACCTTTTTGACGTAGCTGGTGGCGTCATCCTCTGTGACGGGCTCGGCGGAGATGGCACCCCGGCGTCGGACCGGCCCGGCCGCGGGCGTCGGCACCGCGGCCGGCTCGTCGCCCTCCTCTGGTGACGAGGGCTGCCGCTTGCGCGCGTCGCGGGACTGCTCCTGAAAGGGAGATAGAGGGCGACGGTTAGAGGTCGCAGAGTTAGATGTGGGGTTAGACATGGTTCAGATTGTAGTGAGATAAGGATGAAGAGGTCACATATGGGGTCAAATGGGTCAGTCTGGACCAAGGGAAAGGGTACACTGAGTCACATATCAAAGACCAAGCAGATATCATCGTGCAATAAAGTAAGTCACACAACCGGTCAAAAGTTGTCCAATGCCCATTACTGACAGACGCAGTCCCCCTGTTTGACACCTTTGGCGGTGTTGCCCCCTGACGACAGAGAGGTCAGATGACAGATGGGAATCAAATCAGCTATCACGTTGGGTCACTGAGATCAGGATGGACAGCCAGTCGGCCCAAACCCATGATAGGACACAAACAAGCACCTTGGATGTTAGAAAGTACCAACGAGTCTGAAAAGCTGATATATAGGGAGAGATCCATGATGGGATGACTGGGCACCTCTCGTAAGGTAACGACAAACAAAAACACCTGGAACACGGAGCAGCGGCGCACCCACGCAGCGACAAACAAGACCAGAAAGGTCACGGCGGACCTGAGGTTTTCTGAGAGCGCACTTTGACTTTTAGAGAATGGAACATCCAAACAGGCAAGGAGCAGCGTCATATACCCTTAGCATGCATGAGACCTTTGAGATAATGCCCTTAATGTCCATTCTCTCATGAGTTACGACTTCAAGTGACATACCAAAATTCACAACATTGCGATCATACCAACGTGTTCACAGCGACTGGGACAACTGAACCAGGAGATCCCCCTCCCCACCCTAGTCATGCAGCTCTCAGGCCAATCACGTGACTTTCACGGGCGGTCACGTGACCCGAGGGGTGTCAGGAATGCGGTTGGGCCTCCGGTGATCGCCGGTGACCTTTGGCTTCATCGCCCGAGGCTGGAAGATCAGACCACCTTCCTGGTACGGCTAGGTGTGACGTGGGTGCAAATGGCTGCTTCAGACAGCACCTGATGGCTGCTCTCAAAGTGCATTACCATTAGCACAGCTTTTTGACATGGATACATATTCATTAAAAGTCATCTAAGCCATGGCATTTCCTGCAAATGTTCACGTGCCGAACCCAAACCGTTTTCTGACGAACAGTTATTGAATTGTTTTGGTATGCACCAAAATCGTTATCATAAAAAGAAAGGTCTGATAAAAGTTGTGCCACGTTCAGTACGACCTACCCATTTGTTATGCACCTTTTATAAGTAGTTCTAAACGACCACTTCACCGCTGTCGAATCTCCCGTGCCTGCTAGCACCAGAAGACCCTCATCATCTCCCCTCCACCGCCCTCTCCCCTCCCACTCATCCATCGTCGTCACTCCCGTGTATCCCCCCTCCCCCTCCCCGGGAGTCACGAAGTGTCCGCCTCACACTCCGGGCCGGCCACCTCAGCCCACGACGCGCCGACAAACAACTTGTTTTGGCCGGGAGCGGGCGGGCGGCAGGCGTCAGCTCAGCCCGGGCGCAGGTGGCGTGGCCTTCGCGCTACTGCACCTGCACACCACCTCTCTAGGTGCTACTACTCTGCAATCGCTGTGTCATAGAGAGAGAGAGGGAGAGGACGAGAGAGAGAGAGAGAGAGAGAGAGAGGGAGGGGAGGGAGAGAGAGAAGAGAGAGAGAGGGGAGGGAGAGAGAGAGAAGAGAGAGAGGACGAGAGAGAGGACGAGAGAGAGAGAGAGAGAGAGAGAGAGAGAGAGAGAGAGAGAGGAGAGAGAGAGATGGAAAGGATTAGAGCCGACCGAGGAGCGTGGACAAAAATGTTTGTCTCTGCCCATTGTGATAGTGATTTGTGTGTGTACTGTGTAACAAATGAACGGCAGGTATAATATATAAATGCAATGTGCTGAGGTGTTAAAGCTGTAAACTGTATCAAGTTAACTGTATCGAGTTAAACTGCATCGAGTTAAAGGTAGTGTGCCACCTTTGAAAGATTTCCCATTTTATTTTTGCTAGGATAAGAAGCTTCTGTTTTTACCTAATATCGCAAAAAAAAAAATCAAAAATGGGCCTGGAATAGTACCTTTTTCGCCTAAAAGTTTATCGGTTTTTCGATATGTATAACAACTGTAGTGGGCTGGCCTGCAAACAGGCGTCGGCAACAATCGCGAATGCGGCGCACATGTGACAATAAGCAAAGGTCATTATAGAGTTACGACGTACGGGAATGAGTTATCAGCTGTCTAATCGTAGACAACACAATGTCGAGCCTTAAACTGTAAGCCTGTATTGGTATTGTTTCTTTTATTTGGCTGTCGAACATTATTTATGGTTTGAAATATGATTTTATGTAAAACAATTGATATGAAAAAGCCGTCTCTTAAGTTATGACCCCATTTCACCACACGCAAGTGGCAGAAATGACAATGATCAGCTGACGCATTTTTCTTGGCCGAAGTCAGAGCGCGCGGCCCGACGCACCACCACCGCACCACAAAGTATGAGCAGAAGCCGCGCCCAAAGCCAGGGCCCCGGTAACGTGAGGTAGCCGAGTCGGGGCAGCGTGCGCTGACCCAAGCCGGGGCCGCAGCTTTGGGCGCGGTCTACCGCATCCCCGCGGGCAGCCCCGGGCTATCACATGAGACCGGGAGGACGCGCGGCCCCGGCTTGGGTCAGCGCACGCTGCCCCGACTCGGCTACCTCACGTTACCGGGGCCCTGGCTTTGGGCGCGGTCTACTGCACCACCTAACAGGCGTGTTCGAAACCGCAGGAGATGATGATGAACGGGTTTATCGAAACTTGATTGGATGAGCATATCGGTAATAGCGATTTCAGTGTGTGCATTTATTGTTAATAGTGGTGTGAAATGTGGTTGGGGTACGACCGACAACCCGTCGGGGCGAATTTCGCACTGGGGTACTCAAAATTTGAAGAATTTAAGACGTTTCCATGAGTTTTGAAGGTATGGATAAGTTCTAAAAATCCGGTTCTCCTTATCTGGGCCATTAACTCCATACGGTCCAGGAAAGCTGGCACACTACCTTTAAACAGCTTGAGCGCAGCGTGCAGACATGTGTCGTTATTTTTAAGCCTTCCATGGTCAGAGGCGTGAGTCGTCTTGTGACAAAGGATGCAAATCTAGGACTGCATCGAGCTAGTCTTATTCAAAACGCCACCAGAAATGCAAATTTGAAGCCTTCTCTGCCAACCCGCTTACTGGCCAGGTCCGGCGATCAGAGATGCAAATTCGAAGCCCGCTATTCGTCGATCCAATTTAGCCAGCGCTGCCAAAGATGCAAATCACAGTCAATGGGCCAATCTGCATACCTGGCGAACCAGGCGAAGGCCAGCCTTGTTTGTCTGAGCCCAGGATTATCGAGATTTTCGCAGATAATATTTAGTGTTCTGAGTAAATGACCTGCCGAGCGAGGAGCTAAATAAATGCCGATCGAGCTGTGTGTGACAACAACACGCATATGACGAGATCTCATTAATTTTGCATCACCTTTTATACAGCTGACAGTGGACCGGACCGATGTGCGGCCATGACAAGTACAACTATGGCAAGTTCATTGAGATGGACAAAGAAGTGATACAACAAAAACAATGCTACCAAACTCAAGAAGATATGTCTAAAAAACAAGACCATACGCCAGCTCGATGTCTCACTGGAAACACTAGCTCTCGCGCAGTTTCTGAGCGGCCCAAGAGCAGCAGCAGAAGCCGATACCGGTTTCTGCGGCCCCTATTTTTGGCCGCCCACGGCCCGGCGTCGAAACCAGCACCGAGCGCGCGTGCCAACCGAAACCTGAACATTCCACCAGTCTCTGAGCGAGACTGACAATATTGGCCGGTGAAAGGTAACTCAATTGGAATGCTTCATTATTCGCATTGGATTATTTGTTTCGCTTACTTATGTGAAGCATTGCAGATTATGACACTCTTAGAGCACGTGACAGGCTTACAATAATCCTTATGAAAAAGTTCGACCCGAGGCAGCCACCCATACAGAGTTGCTCACTGCTTATAAGATAAACGGTTAATATCTTATCACTAGATAGATCATCAAAAGCTGGTCATTGTTTGTATCGATCAATCCGTGACCACAGGCCAAGAATTTGATCAGATCTGTGATAACCTTGACAAGTCGCAAGCAAGTACTATACTGATACCTCTGTCACTCTTCTGACATTCCTGATCCCAGTTCCAGGCTCCATCCCACGCATCATGAGTCCTGACCCAGGGTCCCCTTCACCCTTCCTGACCCACCACGATACCTTCCTCAGAACCACCCTCATACCTTCCTGACGCACCCCCCTACCTGTCTTAACAACCCCCTACCTTTCTGAACCCCCATCCCCTACTTGCCTGACCCCTGACCTCGCCACGACCCTCCAGCGGCCCTCAGGCCCACCGTTCGCGATGATCTACCGTCTCCATTATGATAATAAACTGCCCCCACCAAGGCACAGACCGACGAACGTGACTTTGAGCCATGAGGAGCCGGCAGAGCGCTAACACAGCGCTGGACGGGTGGGGGGGGGGGGGTATGGGGGTATGGGGGTGGCGGGTGGATGGGTAATGAGTGGGGCGTCTGCGGGAGTCACGGAAAGTCAGGGATGTTTTCTGGGAAATACGAGTGACAGATATGGGAGAAAAGACAGAGTGTACTGTGAATGGCATAGGTACAGCCGGGAGGCCAGCAAGTTTGTGCGTGCCGATCTGCAACGTAAAAATGCCTTGTCTGGGAAAACCGATCGCCCTATGAAACCGGATACATATTCAACGAATACGAAAGCACGATATAGGAATATCGACAGGATCATATTATCAATACAAGATCATGACGTCTTGAGCTGCCTGAGTATGATCTCTGCTGCAATATTGTACACACTACAGTACACACGCGTCAGATGCTGTTGTGATCACAAACACTACAAGTCAACACACCATCCATCAAAATTGTTCTCTTATCAACACACTGCACAGTCAGATAGCTCAACTAAATACTCCACTACCCAGTGACGTCAGAG